AAAAAAAGAATATTTGAGAGGCACATGCCAATATAATCCTCTCCTCACTAGTTATTTTTTCTTTGGTCCTTTTAGTTTTGTAAGATACATCCTTCAGGAGTAGATGCCTATATGTAGAGAAGCCGGATAAAATATAGGACTCCCAGTCAAATTTGAACTTCTGATAAACAGTGAATTTTTTTTTTAGTAGAAGTGCATCCCATGCAATAGCTGAAACATACTAAAATAGTTATTCATTGTTTGTCTGGAATTAAAATTGAACTGCCCATCTGGTGTATTTATTTGCTAAATCTAGTAATCCTACCTTTAGAGGAGTTTGATTTCTCTAGCACTGGGATGCCTGTGAACTTGGGTACTTCATAACATAAGGCTATAGCTACTGGATCCGAAACTCTCTGCAAGTTGATTCAGAACCTGTGTGAACACTCACTGCCTGCTTGCTTTGTCGGAGTTGGCTATTTCCCAACTGCAAAGTACTCCCGCCCCTTGAAGGCTTTGTGTGTTGCCTGAAATCATGTTGCATTGTTGAATGCAATACTGTTTGTCGCGCTTTGATGCTTTCCAACTTGATGCAGCCGTGGTGGAAGTCAATGCAGCTGTCCGCAGGGTCAGTTTACAGCGCAGAGGAGTGGCATGAAACGTAGTCCCTGCTTTGGACATGAGCATACTCATTCTCTGGCCAGTCTTGTTTTTGTCTGAAGATTCACTCCAAGTGTGAGCCGTACCAAAACCTCTGTTGTATACAGATAAGCTGGACAGAAAAGCTCCTTTTCTAGAAAGCTTAGAAATGCACTTTGAAACCTAGAATGCTGAACTGCCAGTTGCAATGCATCTATAATCCAAAGTCCCCATACAACCATGAAAGCAGAAAACCACGCCCTTTCAGGACTATCAGGAGTAGAAGGCCAGACAGTGCAGTTTTCACCTTCCTCTAATTAATCAGTGGGTTCGTGGTAAAGTTCACGCTTTATGTTACGCTTAAAAATTTCTCCCAAGCCTTACATTTCATTAGCTTATGATAAGAAGAACAAAGCTATTGAATCAGATGCAGTGCCCAACATTCAAGAAATGAAAGGTATTAAATATGCCGCCCTTCGTTTTCTTATTTATTCTTACGTATAAAGTCGATGGTGATAGAAATATAAAAAGGTGAGGGCGATTTAAACACATTAAGGTTTGATACCCCAGAATCAGGAGATAAGAATTAAACAAGACCCTTGTTAAAAAGTGGGGAGACAGGGACTGTATACCTAGTATATACATAACTTTTCTCTGAATATAAAGTTTAATACGTTAGGCTTTATATCTAGTTTATATATTTCAAATGTGTAAAAACCACAGAAGCAATTTTAAGCATAAAATAAGGGTTTCGGAAATATTGACTACTATTGAAAACATTTTTATATTTTTGAAAATCCCTTATTGATAAAGCTTGGCTTATAAAATAAATACGTCAATTCATCATTGAGTAGAAACTCCTGCAAAAATTTCTTGTAAGGAAATTTATTCTTGCCTTCATTTCAACCCAAATTAGCAAAATTTCCAGCCTTTTACCCTTTGTTTCTGTATTCATGGGCTCTGTATCGGTAAGTTCCACATCTGTGAATTAATCTCAGATTGAAAATTATCAAAAAACATAATATTACAATTCAAACAATACAAATCTTGAAAATATAACAACTATTTACATAGTATTAGGTATTATAAATAATCTAGAGATGATTTAAAGTGTACTAGAAGATAGGCATAGGTTTTATGCAAATTCTACATCGTTACATATAAAGGATTTGCACATCCTTGGATTTTGGCCTCGGGGGGCGGGGGGGGGGCTGATCTCAATCCTCCAGTGAGGCAGGAAAATGTTAGTTAGAGGATTTTAGACTCACCTATTTAGAATTAGGTTTTCAGTGATAACAGAAAACAAGTTAGAAAATGTGGCTTCCCAAAGAAGAAAAATCCAACTGTATATCCAAAGTCTGAAGACAAACAGTGCTATTCCAATAACATGTCATTTTATAAAACAACATAGTCCAGACACATTTACTTTACAAAAGTCAAAATTTGTCATCACAAAATAAGGTCATTAGAGGAAAAATGAGTCATCAGCAAAGCAGAGCAAATTATGTGTCCTGTTTACGACTTTCACAGTCAAATCATTTGGCATGAATTTCTCATAACTTCAAAAGGAATGGGTCTCCTAGGGCTGGGGAAAAGTAACTGTGAGGGGTGTACAAAATTAAAGTTCACCTTATGGTTTCTAGATTGGAGGATTTGTCATTCAAGGAATCAAGAGCCATTGTTCACTGGAGTTTGCCAGAAGTGTCCCTTTACCACAATCGACTTTAAAATCAATTTAGTTTATTTGGAATGGTTTGCTTGATTTGGTTGAAATCACCCTTATTTTCTAGACTAGTTGTGGTAAATCAATCTGTAGTAATTTTTATTGTTCTCCCACAGCTGTAAAATTGTTTGAATGAAGGAAACCCTGCGTTCTTTAGAACTACATATGGTTTTAAATTATGCCGATTTTCAAAAACCTCTCTCTTATGAGGCAGTCCAGTAATCACTGGCTTCTCAGTGAGAAAATCCTCTTGATCTTCCCACACCCTTCCGCTGCCCCTTACACCACCATGTCCTGATAAGCGTATCAGACCTTGGTGGGGAGTGAAGATGCCTGAGAAGTGACGTGATGCCCAGGGCAGCCTGCCTCAACAGATGACACTGCTAACAATTATTTTTCTCATCTCTCAAATAACTGTCCATAATTAAATCTGCTCATTAATCTGAAAGAGGGGACCTCCTGGGCCAATCAGATTTCTTATATGAATAGTCATTGTTTACAAAGACAGATCAGATGTAAAATAACAGTTTATTTGAGAAATAAATTTTGAATTTTGAGAAGAAATGAGTTATAAACAAGCAATATTTTTTGAGAATTTTGAATTTTGAGAAGAAATGAGTTATGTGTGGTACAGCAATATATTTTTTTTGTTTGTTTTTGTTTTGTTTTTTTTAGAGCCTCAAACTGTCCCCCTGGGTAGAGTACCGTGGCATCACAGCTCACAGCAACCTCCAACTCCTGGGCTCGAGCAAGTTTCCTGCCTCAGCCTCCCAAGTAGCTGGGACTACAGGCACCCGCCACAAGTCCCGGCTATTTTTCAGTTGCAGTTGTCATTGTTTGGCAGGCCCGGGCTGGATTTGAACCCGCCAACCTTGGTGTATGTGGCCAGTACCCTAGCCACTGAGCTACAGGCACTGAGCCAGTGATTTTTCTTTTGCCATGTATGTACTTGATCTTCACCACCTTGAGTTTCTCGCTGAGATGGACTCAAGGGCAACAATGACATATTTCTTGGTTTGTAGGATAAAATATAACTTTGTCACCTAAGCCAATTTAATTTAGATTGATGGTGAAGTTAAACCTCAGGGTATCCTAGATGTTTGGGTAAATTTACTAGTTTGTTATGGAACTGAAAAAAAAAAAAAACATTTCTTTCTTCTTATAAAGATGGAGAAGATATATAACTACGTTTTTCCAGACTGAATAATTATGCTTTTAAATAGATTTCTTAAAACCTTGCATAGATTGCTGAATTTCATGAAAGAGACAACTTTATATGTTGCCTTCCAGAGCAGGGGGTTTATTTATGATTCAATAATCTTTGTTTCCTGGCAGCGTGGGGAGACGGCACTGCACATGGCCGCCCGAGCGGGGCAGGTGGAAGTGGTCCGATGCCTCCTGAGAAATGGTGCCCTTGTGGATGCCAGAGCCAGGGTAGGTGCCGGTGCTCTGAGGTTCTCTACTGTGCACATGAGTCCTATCTTACAGATAGGGTTTTATGCTTTAGTTCCTTGATTTGAAAATGCCATGGACTTGTAAGTGAAAGTATCAACCCAATTACAGTTATTTAAGCAAAAAAGAAGCACTGTATAAGCAAATATACACGATGAAAAATGCATCCAAATTTCAGAAACATTAACATTTGAAAAAATGTAAAATTTAGTAACTGGGAAATATGACATTGACAAACATTTTAATAATTTTTTAACCTAGGACAGCATTTTCATATCTCTTTATTTTTATGAATGTTTAGATTTAACCTACATCACATAGACACTACGCATATGATATGTTACAATACTTTTCTTACCACCAAAACCATTGCTTTAAAAGGAAATTATAGTCCAGTTATGTTTTCTTGTTATCCTTTTCATGTCTCTCCTTTTTATAATGATATCTACTTTTCTTCTTACTCTGACGTTACCTATGTAGACGTTCTGCATTTCCGCTCTTTGGAGTAGAATTTGGGCCTTGAGATCGCTTGATCAGACTTCTTTTGTTTCTAATTGCTTCTTATTTCTTCACAGGTTCTTCTTTCTTTCTTTTTTTCTTTCCTTCCTTCCCTCTCCCTTCCCTTCCCTTCCTTCCCTTCTTTCCTTTTCCCTCTAATTGCTTCTTATTTCTTCATAGGTTCGTTCGTTCGTTCTTCCCTCCCTCCCTCCCTCCCTCCCTCCCTCTTTCTTTCTTTCTTTCTTTCTTTCTTTCTTTTTTTCTTTCTTTCTTTCTTTCTCTTCCCAGTTTCTTGTCAGACCTTCCTTTCTGCTGAACGCATCAGTAATTTCTGTCAGTTTACTAAATTTTCTATTTTCTCTTCCACGTTGTTTCTTAACCTTTGATGATTTGATAAATTTAATATGAATTTTTTTGGGCTCCATGGATCTTCGGACAGCATCCAGTAGTAAATTGGCAATCTTGACGCCACTTTTGTTGGTTTAATTTTAATCTGTCTTTCTAGCCATTGTACATGCAGTGTAATTTATGTTCCTTGGTAATCATCATTGGTATGCTATGTTTTTATATATTTATATTTGTTGTTATTCAACTGTATCCTTTCCCTCCCATGACACTCTTGTTTTCCTTTATGGTTACCTGGCATTCAGCTATGTTAAAAATATCTCTGTGGCCAACCACTGCACGCTGAGTACTGCATACTTCACTATTTTTACCAGCAATAGTGTCTGTAAAAGTTTTGTAACTGATATTCAATAATAAACGAGTTTTCCATTTCTCTCTCTTAAAATAAAACCCCTTAATATATTTCTGTTATTCAAATTCAGATTTTTTTCTACTTTTAATGGAAAGTTTGTGTTTTCATATATTTCTGCCAAATTTTCTAAACTGATTTTGATTTAACCTGTTACTACAGCCTCACACCGTTTTGGATGCCCTCTGAAACCTCTTTTCTGAAAACCTCACTAATTACAGATTCTTTCTCTTGAAATATAATGACATTTATTTACCACGTAGATTTCATCAGTTTTACTTTTTTACTTCACTTTTGCAACTACATTTAGTTTCATGATCTATGTATATAAATAAGTCTTAATTGTTTATTCTTCATAATTTAAATAGCATATTTGATTTTTGTCTTTTGTTGGCTTTTTCTTTTCAGCTCTACCACCTATTCTAAGATGCAACTGAAATCCCTTCCCCGTAGCATCCTTTGTATTGCCAACAGGAAAAATACCATGGCCTTATGAAGCAGTGCTCTCCAGAGATCAATGTGCATAAAAATTACAGGGGGGCCCTTTAAAAATGTATGTCGTAACTCAAGGCTAAATGTCTAAAAAACTCACAGGTGATGACCGTGCTTGAGATCCTGGGATAATACTTTGAGCTGCCAGGAGCTAGAGTTTCCCCTTTCACGTGTTCTATTTTCCACGCCCTTTCACCAGGGGTTGTTGATTTTCATTTAGTCCTTTAACATTTCCCTGAAACTCTTTGATTTAGCTAACCTTTGTACAGTGCTTTATCATTCATAAAGCATTTAAGCACAAATTATTTTACTTTATATAAAGAGCAACCCTGTGTTGTAGGGTGGCTTAGGATCCTAAAATTCAGGATTGCCCAACTCACTTATAGTCAGTAGAGTTAGGATAAGAAAGGATGTCTCCTCTGGTTCTGTTCTTGCTCCTCACCTCCCATTTCAAATGCAGAGACACCTCTTCTCTCCTATCCAAACCCGCTTCCAATTAGTTACATTCCCTTCTTGAGCTGATGACTATGACCCAGATAAAGATCAAGCTTGAGCGCATACCCATTCCTGCAGCCCATTTATGAATTGGGAGAAGATGATTGGCAGCTTTTATAAGGCCACATGGAGTTTGCAATGTCTACTTATCCCAGAAGGGGGAGAGCTGTCCCCCGAAGAAGGGTATAGGGAATATTAGGCAGAAAAAGAACACACATCAATCTGCCCCTTTTTATCTCTTGGTTTCTCAGCACAAACACCTTTGATAATATCATCTCTTAACCTAATACCATGGCTGTAGAATTCACCCTTTCTGAAGGGGAAATAATCAAAAACTGTGCTACAGTTGAGCTCCAAGGTCAAGATCTCTGGATGGTTTGAGATCCTCTCAATTGGGTTTAGAAATAATATTTCGGCTTGGCGCCTGTGGCTCAAGCGGCTAAGGCGCCAGCCACATACACCTAAGGTGGTGGGTTCGAATCCCCAGCCCGGGCCCGCCAACAACGATGATGGCTGCAACCAAAAAATGGCCGGGCGTTGTGGTGGGCGCCTGTGGTCCCAGCTACTTGGGAGGCTGAGGCAGGAGACTCGCTTGAGCCCAGGAGTTGGAGGTTGCTGTGAGCGTGATGCCATGGCACTCTACCCAGGGGGATAGCTTGAGGCTCCATCTCAAAAAAAAAAAAAAAAGAAAGAAAAAAGAAATAATATTTCATGATTATACAACCGCAGGACTAAATTATATTTTGCCTACTCCCAATATATATTAACAACAAAAGAAAAACCACACAATCACAATAATATCTCTAGTTTAAAAAGTGCAAGCAGAATACTCTATTTACCAGTCCAAAAATAAAGCATATTTTGCCAGACAAACTGGATGGGAGAGGGTGCAGTGGCCTAAATTCCTCAGTCAGCCACTCAGGGTGGTTCACCCTTATCCACTATCCTCAGTGGACATAACTGAGAGGGCCACCAAGGCCTGCCCGTCTGGGAAGTCTCTCGCTTTAAGCTTACTCTGTTGGCACAATGATGGGGCCTGGCATTTGCTGTAGGGATTACAAACTCATAGGGTACTTAGCTTACAGTTACTTGCAATTTAACTTACTTAGAACTTTAGTTAGCTGCGAGTAGGCTTACTTCCCAGGAACCCTGCTAGTAACTAATAGCAAAAATGTATCAACTTTTTGAACTTTGCCCCATCTACCATTATTTCTGTCTCTTTGTAAAAGGAATTCTGGCTCAGCATCCCTAAATCTGGTTGCCTTAGAGCAAAATAAAACAGTAGACTGCAGTGGTCAAGCAGGCCTCGCCCATATTCTGGTGTAGGCTGTGTCTATCAGTGATGCTTTATGGTGGGGGATGTCTTGCCTCCCACAGCTGGAAAATACCTAGGAGATCAGGCTACCCCCCTTTCTTTAGCTCTTCCCATGAATCTTATCTTCAGCATTTTCCCACTTCTTCACCCGGGGTTAGAGTAATTTTAGCTTGGGGCAATAAATCCAACTTTTGCAATTCAGCAGGGTAATAATTGTCCAGACCTTCAAAGGTCTTATATCCCTGGTTCCAGATTGAAAATTTTTCTTAGCAAAATTTGTATGTTATTTTTCCACTTTCATATAAAATTATACCAATTTTTTAAATTTAAGTATACAAGACATCTTACTTCTTAACATTAAACAACAAAAAAAAGTACATTAATGCTCCCTGGTCTAAGGATCAAGATAGAACAGTTGATAATTTGATCAGTTTCATAGCCACCACCAGTCAAGGATTGCTACTTCTCAGCTATGGATTAAACTTCAATCATTAAAGGGTCATGATACATCCAACGTTTTCCCTATTCATTGAAAAATGCATTTTTATTTATTTATTTATTTATTTAGATAAAATCTCACTTTGTGCTCTGGATAGAATGCTGGGCATCATGGCTCATAGCAACCTCTGGGGTGAAGTGATCCTCTTGCCTCAACTTCCCGAGTAGCTGAGTCTATAGGAGGCCATCAGCACACCCAGCTAATTTTTCTATTTTTAGTAGAGACAGGGTCTTGTTCTTGCTCAGGCTGGTCTCAAACTCCTGAACTCAAGCAATCCACTGACCTTGGCCTCCCCGAGTGCTAGGATTACAGGTGGGAGCCACTGTGTCAGGCTGAAAAATGCATTCTAGAGCAAGCGTCTTCAAACTACGGCCTGCGGGCCACATGCAGCCCACCTAGGAGATTTATCCGGCCCGCCAGGTGTTTTTGCTGCAGCTGCCTGTCCTGCTTAGCAGCCGACTTGTCCCGGGGCCCGCAGTCCGGCCCTCCAACCGTCTGAGGGACAGTGAACCAGCCCCCTGTTTAAAAAGTTTGAGGAGCCCTGTTCTAGAGTGTCACTTGCAGTACCCGCTCCTTTCTGAAGGGAAACAGACACAACAGATGTGCATGCACCATAGTTATTGTGGAGTTCCTTGTTGTTTACTTTTTATTGTTGTTTGTTTTGCTAACCATTTACTCAGGTGACCATTCGTCCTCTGCCTTTCTCTATCTTCTCCCCTGTATTAGGGAGAGGTGCGTCCTCTCATGTGTTGTCAGCCCCCTTTCCTTGGAGAGTTCCCTTCTCCTGTTAGTTCTCTTACACATCATCTCACTGTATCTATTTCTATGGAATGAGCAGGTGAAGAAATATTGTCTTTTAGAATCCAATGCCTGAATTGAAGTTCTGTTTTAATAGTTAAATGACCTTGTACAATCTGTGAGGACCCACTGAATTCCTTTTACTCTCCTTATCTAGAAAATGGTCTAGTAATACATGTTATGCCCTTTTTCCAGGTCTATTATAAGAATTGGGTTTCCTGTTAATCAGACGTGAAGAAAGATTATAAACTTCAAAGTATCATAACATCCCAATACAACGACTGAAATAATTGTATTATTAATTCCTTTTCGGTACCTTGAAATTCATGTCATGTTATTTCATCCCTTTCTAGAGCTCTCTCTTTTTCTTCCTTATAAATTGAAGATACTGCATTTTCTCAGACAGACCTTTCGTGCTCTGTTCTATCTTTTCTCCATTCATTCTTAGCCCTGGAAGCTAGCCCAGCTTTTCCTTCCTCAGTTTTATTATGACATGCCCTGGGGCAGATTGTAAAGATATACTTCTTTTCATCACTAAGGTTATGCTCACATTTCTTTGTACAAGAGACAGTGGTTTGGCCTGGTTCTCTTAACACTGAAAACATTATTCCTAACCACGCATTAGAGTCAGGTGATTGTCGAGCTTCCTTGAACTTGCTCTTCCGTATCCTCTGCTTTAAAATGAAAAACACTTGACAAATTATTCACCCTATTTGCTTCTTGCCAGAGTCCCATTTCTTCTTTGAAGTCCTCCATGCAAGTCCCAGACCCATCTGTAATGTCTGTGAAAAAAAAAAATCTTTTTATACCAGATAACAATATCTTCTTTATCCAATTTCTCCTTGAAGAAAATGACTGGTATTTGTATCCTTGGCTTGCTGAACGAAGCTGAGAACAAAGATTTTCCAGCATCCCTGGTTCTTTTTCTCTTGGTCCAGTTCCCAGAATAAATCCTGTCTCTAAGTGAAAACTCTTGGATGAGAATCTAGGTCTTAGGACATTTGGACTAGATTTCTTTCTTATTCCAAATCATGAGTTAGTTTATATTTAAACATAAACGACGACTGAAGCATCGATAAGGTGAAAAATATTTGGGGGTACCCAGAAAACAATGACCAACTTCATGGAAGTTCATACTTCTAAAAACTTTTCTAAGGGAGAGTTTGTAACTCAACAGGGCATTTCTGTTGTAAAATATAAAATAAGCTATGATCAAAGTAGCAATGATTTCCTTTTGGATAGAGGGTCCTAGAGATTCCGAGAAGACATGGTGAAACATCTGAGTGGCAGTGACGTTCGGTCCACCTGGCACTAACTGTTCACTTGACTTGAGTTGTAGGAGGAACAGACACCATTGCATATTGCCTCCCGCCTGGGTAAGACAGAAATCGTCCAGCTGCTTCTACAACACATGGCTCATCCAGATGCGGCCACTACAAATGGGTATACACCACTGCACATCTCCGCCAGGGAAGGCCAGGTGGATGTGGCGTCAGTCCTTTTGGAAGCAGGAGCAGCCCACTCCTTAGCTACCAAGGTAAGGAGAATGGCCTGATGACAATGCCTACCGAGAGGGTCCCTCCGTCAGAGCCCTCTGCTCTATTGCACAGTTACCCAAAGGGTGGGTATCTTGGGGTCTCTGGCTTCTTTCTCTGACTATTTCACATTCATTTTCAGAATGATCAGAGGAGATTGTAAGATTCACATAATATGAGTCTGAATTTCATTCTCATTAATGCCAATGTTGGTTCTAGTATGATATCTAATACTTTAACTAAGATGACTTCCATAAAGCAAGGGCAAATTTTTCTTCCCTTTCCATCTTAAAATCTATTGTACATTCACAAGAGAAAAAAAAAAAGATTCCCTAACACATTGACTGGTATTACTAATGAGGAAGAGAATATTGCGTTAGATCAGCGGTACTGTGTTTACTGGGAGATGTGGTACTATAGAAGCTCGCTTCACTGTGGGCTTTCCAACCCTAATGTCGGCCGTCCCTGTTTGGTATGCTCATTCCCATTCTCACCTCCAGTTTCTATCCATAGTGTCTAAACTGTGCTGAGCTGTAAAGTAACACCCTAGTAGTCGTTACCGACATGGAATGGACACCTGCCTATATTTCACTTATGTTCAAAGTTTCATGATAGGGCTGAGTAATTTTCCTCCACTTTATATATTCTATTTGAAATTCACTCTTTGAAAGTGACTTGGAATAAAACAAACACACCCAGCTTAGAGGAACAAAATAAATTGAGTTACTCCGGAAGAGCAGAAAAATGAGACAAATGAAAATCTGGATGAGAGCAAGTGAATTCGTCACAAAGTAATTCCCCAAAATGTATTAGAGATTCACATTAACCAAAAGACCTTTTTAATTTGCTCACAACGAATAGGTGTCTACTGCACTGAGGGAGAAGGAGGTTTCTAACCGTGAACTCAGGTGGTGATTTGCAGCTATAAAAAATATTTTGATATAAGAAATTGATAACTATTCAAATTGCAAAAGCTGAAAAGTTGAAAGGATTTTAAAATTTCTTTAAAAAAACTAAGCAACAGACATCGAGTAGTAATAGCGCAGGAGAAACTTAGTGATTGTCTTATCAGATCAAAGCATAAATAAATAAAATTAGGATAGGTGAAATACAGAAATAAAGAATAAAACATATCCCTTATCTTTCAAAGAGTTTTTTTAGGATAAAAAATAGGTCTGAATTCTTAGTAAATTAGTGTAATAAAATAGAAGAACTATGAAACAGAACATTTTGTTGGTGCACCTGACTAGGGCTGGATGGTGGTTGATTCCTTATCATTAAAGCCATTGAAGTGTTTATAAATATCAGAGGGTAAATGAAATCCTGGTGAGATGAACACAGAGGAAGAAGGGTGATGCATGAGTCAAGTGACGCCCTCTAATCTTGATTTTGTGTTTCTGTCGTAAAGATTCTATGTGGTTTTGTCTAATAGGAGTTTCCAAATGTATAAAGTAGTTAGATCACTATTTCTGCAGGATTTAAGGCTAAGGAGTTTCTTTTTGATTCCTCACCACATGATTTGTCTCAAAGAACTGGACTTGGTTTGGTGTCAGCACAATCACTGTGTGCATGGAGTGGAGGGGAGAGAGCTCTGTGAGCACATACTGGTGCATGAGGACTCATACAGGAAGGAAGAAACGCTTCCTACCTTTGTCCCACATTTGGAAAAAGCCAGAAGATTCACTCTCTTTCCAGAATGTATTAGCACCAAGTGTTTCAAAGAAAAGCAAATAGGAAAACGTCATCGTAGTTAAAAATACTTCCTGTGGTGACACTGTGAAAGTATAATATTGCTGCCTGAGCAATGTTCTATATTTCTGACCAGGGCTTACGGGGTCCCAGGACAAGCCTTATCTCGGAGCACCTAATCCAGGCACATTGGCTGTGTGGGTTTTACACACCCTGGTCGGTGTTAGAATTCCCCCGCTCGCACTCAAGTGCTGGAAAACCATGTGGTTACACTGTCTGGCCAAGAGGATGGATTTGAGATCACGATGCAGGAACTGTGCCATCTCCAGCGCTTAGTCCAGAGACTTCTCTGTATTTATAACACATTGCTAATTACAGAGGGTGGCTACGGGTTAGGCACACAAGATGTTAAATGTGTACATATAAATGTGTAGGAGAGCAGTCTTTTAAAAAAGAGCTTTAAAGCTTTGGTGTGTTTAAAAGTCTGATGTTAATTAAGCCAACATCAAACCAGAAGTAGAATGTATTTTACAAAAGGAATTGGTTTTTTAGACAGTGGGAATCTTCTGAGAAAAGGAACAACTGTCAGGATGGGAGTTGCTTTTTAAAAGTCCTATAAATCACGTATCTTGCCATTTTTGTGGAAAATATTAGTTAACTAAATCACAAATAATTTTTTATCACAAATACCAAAGCATTTTAAAACTTCAATGAAAAAATTTAGAATTTCGATGTTATAGTAAAGGATTGAACAAAAGAACAGGAGGGTTGGAGAGAAGGCAGCTGTTGTTTCAGTCCTACTAAATTTAGAGGCAATAAAAAGGCTTCCCGCCCCCCAATTCACATATTGGAGCCAGTTTACTGACACCAGTGACTTTCAAACATCTCAAGCCTATAAAGTCAGATTTCAGTCTCTCAAGCCCTTAAAATAAAATTTCTTTTGTTCCATTTATCAAGCTAAACTTCTTCATGTAAAGTTTCATCCTGTATCCTAATCCTTGTTTATGGCTAATAGATTTAATGCTACTGATATATTTTCCAAAATAGAGAATTAGCATAATTTGCTTCCTGTGTTAATAAATACAAAATGTCTTATTAGGAGTCACAGAAATAAATACTAAATTTCACTCTTGTTGTTCATATTTTCAGAAGGGTTTTACACCCCTGCATGTGGCAGCCAAGTATGGAAGCCTGGATGTGGCAAGACTTCTCTTACAACGCAGGGCTGCTGCAGATTCTGCAGGGAAGGTAAAGATTTTCAATAACAAGTTTTTATTAGATAACTCGGTGGAGTTGAGAGATTTGTAGATCTGTAAAAATATTTTTTTCACTCCTCTGAAAGGAATACAAACGCAACTCATAAAACTGTGTCAGGTAGACATCACAGAGACGTCTGCCCGTGACCTTCACGGACACACCCACTCAAAGCATTTGGAGCTATGTCTCAAATGTTTGTTCATGTCAAACAGGGCCAGAACTCCTTCCTCCGTGGTCAGAAGAATCCCTGCAGTGTTAATGCAGTATTTCTTACATAGGGTTTGAGACCACTATGACCTTCAAGATGCCTTTTGCTAATGCAAGTTCAACTGTTTTCGATTTTAGTTATGTGTCTAGTATGAAAATTAATAAGAAATTATTAAGTATTTTATTTTATTTATTTTTTTATTTGTTTAACTCTTTTTTTCTATTTGCTGTATTAATTAATTAACATGGACTTAATCAATACCGTTTTCCATGCATCCCAGTAGCTTCAGGGCAGCTAACGCTAATTTATTAATGGTGAAACTTAAAACACACCCTTTACAGAATGGCCTTACCCCGCTCCATGTTGCTGCTCATTATGACAACCAGAAGGTGGCGCTGCTGTTACTGGAAAAGGGTGCTTCCCCTCACGCCACTGCCAAGGTGAGGACCAAGAAAAAATATTTACAGATGTAGGGTGTGACTGCAGCATAATCTGAAAGTACAAGGGAATTGTTTTTTAAACACACGGTATAGTATAACTGCAGCTAGTCCTAGTGATAGTAGCTTTTGGTATTGACACCTTTTATTTTTCTTGTATTTCTACCAATTGCTTCTGCAAAACCTTTTAAGATGTTTACAGTCAACCAATATTAATGGGATATGTCTATAAGCCCACAGTAGAGATGAATCTTATTTGCAACATTCAGTGTTTTAGAGTCTAAAGTCTGAATTTTGAGAAAGGAAACATAATAAAGGCATTAGCAGGTTTTTCCTTTTCTCCTGTAAACAGAATGCCATAACTTAGCATTTTATATTCTCATTTTTTCAGACTTATCAAACTTTTGATATTTCCTTTGCCTTTTAAATATTTCATCTGTGTTAACTATAGCGTGGATCCACTTAAGTCCCTAGATGAGGGGAAATGCCTCTTTGATATTTATGTAGCAACAACTTCCAGGACAGCCCCAAGACTTGTACGTATGTACAAGAAATTTCCCACTATTTGAGTTGCCCCTTTGCTTCACTAACAATATACATGCAAGTCATCTAAAACATAAAGCCATCACTTCATCCTCCATTTCTTAATTTAGCAAATGCATTTTGAGAATATTTTGAATTTATTTAAAACATATTTAGTGTGATGGAAAATATTTATGCTATATTAGATGATAATATAAAGCAACTACCACTATTTATGTACCAAAACGTTGCCTAGCCCTTTGTGTGCAATATCTCATTCAATCTCATAATGATCCCGTGATATTGGCATTATAAAGATCTCCATTTTGCAGAGGAGAAGGTGAGATTCAAGTAGGTTAGTGTGTCCAAAGTCACATGACTAATAAGTGTTAGAGCCAGTACCTGTGTTTGACCTCAAGCAGACTTTAGAAACAGCGCTCTTAACCACTAGCTATGCTGTGTCTCAAGATTATTCATAGAGAGAGATTTATTCCATTTCTATTATACAGATATGTACATCTATTCTCACATGTCTATTTAAATTATACATATTATACATATGCAATAAAATGGAATACTAGACATACATATATTAAAATATGTTCTACATAATACCATATATTTTATATATAAAATTGATATATATATAATAAAATATTAGAAGTGCATAACTTTGTATACATACATACACATACATCTACGTGTATTCATATATTTTTGTTGCCAATAAATAGCTTATAATAAAGTAACGGTCAAAAGACGGCTAAAAACTTTTATAGTTATAACATTTTTATAATTATACAGTGTTCATATTCCTTTATACTCTTTTCTGTAATCTTATCAATTCCCCTTTTATTTTATATATTTATTCACACTCGATTGTACGCTACTTGGGGACAGTGCTCATGCCACATTAACTTGCATATCCCTGGGGTGTCTAATATATTATTATATGGTTTCTCAATAAATTTGGATGAAAGAATGAAGACTGAACAGCTATTTCAATGGGATAAAAAAAAATCTTGCTCGCTTAACATGCCAGCATTTGTATTCATTAGTTTTCCAGGTTGGCCATTCTCAACATACATATGAAAGGCTTCATCAGAACTCATCATTACTCTTCCTGAACTCTTACTATGTATAAAGAAAGGATTGTAGGCACTTGGTGGGAGGTAACATAGTAAAATGTGTGTTCTTTCCCAAGAGATCCTCCATCTACCTGCAAGAGAAGATCTAGCTTATAAAATAATGTGTGTGACTTTCCTATAGAGACAAATAGGCTCGATCTCTAGCCTCTGTTGTGCATGGTCCTGGTCCTTACTCTCACGCATGCACCCATTAAGTCCAGAAGATGAAATAGAATGATCCTCTACTCCAGAGTGCACAGTAGGGTGGGTGTTCTGGGGAGGCTCCTCAGGGACCTTCCCCTTGTCTGCCCTATACTCTCAAAGAGCATGAGTACATCAGCTCTGGGGCATCACAAGGGGCTTCCAGTTGGTCAGGCCCCCACTTCTGCCTCCACTTTGACTCTACCTCCATTCACTACAATTTCCCCTCTTCCCAACACACACAGTCCTTCGGCCTCTGGAATGTCTTTGTTTCCTCCTACCAGAGTCCAGTACCTTCTTTTAGTTCTCACTGGGATTGCTTTCAGTTCCTGGATTCCCAAAATGCTTACTCTTTAGTTGCAGATTGAGGACCTACTAGTCAGACCCCTTCCGTTGCCACAATTGATGTCTTTGATGATCTCTTGTGTTGTTTTGCTAAAATACCTGCCTTTTTGCCACATAAGTCTCACTAACAAATGCCTTGATACCTTATATAACCTTGGTAGAGCCTATGCCCTAGCTTTTGGTGTTGACACCATAGGCTTTACCAAGGTTAGGTAAGATATCAAGGCATTTGTTAATGAGACTTATGCAGGAATGGGGGGGTTTGGTCACATAGTAGCCAAAAGGGTTTGCCTAAATGTGTATGAAGAATCTGCGTACTCTTTCATTCAAAAGAGCCATAGACCTA